CACACACACACACACACACACACACACACACACACACACACACACACTAACCCTCAGCAGCAGAAACTCTGGCTTGATGAAATCCAGCAGGAACCAGGTGTCTGGAGGTTTCAGCCAATCAGCGATGGACCTAGCGGAGAGAACCAGGAAGAGACGAGGAGGTGTTAATAGGACCCTCCTTCAACGCCCTCTCAGCCAATAAACGGACGGCGTTGGAGATGGGGAGCCTCTTGACCAATAGCGGAGAGCGTGTTCATCATGTGGGTGAGGACCTCTCACACGGGTGATAATCAGACAGCACCACGTCGTATTTATGAAACTCAGCGTGTTAATGCGGTAAATCTGAGTTATTCAGTTATTCTACGTCACCTATCTGACTCTAAATGGACCATAAGTTACTAAATGAACATCATGCTGTATTGAAGAAGACTTGAAACTAGAGATTGAGACCATAAACTCATGTTTACAATGTTTACTGAGGTAATAAATCAAGAGAGAAGTAGAGTCATTTTCTCATAGACTTCTATACAACCAGAGGAGTCGCCCCCTGGTGGACAATAGAGAGACTGCAGGTCCTCTCACCTGTTGTTGGTCTTCAGGTAGATCATAGCGAGGGCCAGCGTGGCTCCGGGACATGTCACGTCCACATTTATGGTGTCGCCCTCCTGAGAGGAAACGTCCAAAATGTTTGGAGAAAGAAAAACACAATTAGCGATCCAGCTAACCGCGGCAGCTAATCAGCGAGCTAACAGTGTTACTTCATGTGGAGAGAAAATAACCTTTAATCTAGACGCTGATCTCTGATAGTGTTACATTGTAAACAACAAGAGCTAGTAACGTTAGCAGTACCGCTAACGGCTAACCAACCGAGGTTCACTTCAGTGACATCATGATGCCTTCAGGCTCTGCTCAGTGAACATGAGTACTGGCTGAAGGAACATTATAACGTTATCATGATGTGTTCACATGTCATCTGTAAAATGTAGTTTTGGTGATGAACTAGAATAAATCCAGTAGTTTGAAGGAGATGTTTTCACATGAATATAAAATAGATATTAGAGATGAATTATGATATTTAACTTCTAACACGAGCTCTAAGCTCATTATTATACTTCATTAATAACGATGTCCTGTACCTTGATCTGGTAGCTGGGAGACTTGTGTCTCTCTCTGTTGGCTCCGGCCTGAGCTCTGCGGTGCCCCCCCACCATGTACTGGTACAGCTGCTCGGGGACGTTCAGGTCCGTCATCCCGATCAGGTTACTGCCGTGCTGCAAGGACACAACAATGATAATAATGATGAAGGAGCCCGAGATTAAAGTTGTACGTTTAGGAGAGAAAAACTTGGATAATCTCTGAGATTATAAAGGAATAAATGAGTGAATACTGGAGGTATTAAATAACAAGAGACATTGCATATCTAATGGCCTCAACTCAAATTTATCCTCCTTGTTTTTTACCAGCAACCCACATGTTATACACATGTTATACACTAAAATGACGACTACTTGTTGAAGTGACTCACCCCCAGACAGACCATACCCAGAGCCAGACCAGCAGCCAGAGAGTAGGACTCTCTGTCTGTGCAGTACTCCATCTCTGGACCAGGAGGCCGACCTGAGACACAGAAACACGCGTTCACCCTCCGTTCACCAACACGACTCATCGACATCATCTCTATGTCGTGAGAGGAGACTTTCTATCGTCTTGGATTTAGAAGATGGTAACATGGAACAAGTGTTGTCTTCTTTTCTGGTCTTAAAAGGTTCTGAACTTACCAGACTGTTCTACTATTTATTTATTATTATAATATAATATAATATAATAAATGTGACTTAAACTGATAAAAAGTCAGTTTATGAGCTTTATGGAACACAAACACAAAACGTTGACGCTGCACAAAAGAGGAGACGACGACGACTGACAGGTGAAATAATTAAACACACACACACACACACACACACACACACACACAGACACACACACACACACACACACACACACACACACACACCTATCTCAGACAGCAGGACTTCAGCATTGTGTCTGTGTCCGGTTCCCTGGTACACCAGCCCGATGCCGATCACAGCAGCAACCTGCACGACAGACAGAGACAGAACTGAGTCAGGATTTTATTACTATTGTTATCTTTGCGCTGGTGAGGTTGTGCAGACTCACCTGGACATTGTGCGGGACGTCCAGCTCGGTGGAGGTGGGGGGGAGCAGGGCCGGGATGTGGATGCTGAGGAGTCGAGTGATTGACATGTCCATGGTGCCCAGCTTGGCTGAGGACACGCCCAGAAGCAGCCCGATGCTGGTCATCTCATGGCCCTGAGGGCACACACACACACACACTCATGTCTTCAAAGACATCAGCTGATGACATCATACCACAGCGTGTGATGAAATACCTGCAATCAGCTCCGACTGTGACGAGTCCAACCAGCTCAGTGTGACGGACAGCTCTCATTAGACCCCTGTGTGCGTGCGTGTGTGCGTGTGCGCGGGTGCGTGTGTGTGCGTGCGTACCTTGGTGAGGTAGTCGTGGATGTTGAGCGTGGCCAGCTTGGTGAGGTGTCCGTTGAGGCCCAGAGCCATCAGGAAGCCGGCGTACTCGTTGGCCAGCTCGGGGCTCTTTGGCTTGTTGTAGGCGATCCAGGCCGAGTCCACCTGAACACAGAGGAGGAGGAGCAGTGACGTGACCAGAGGAGGAGCAGTGACGTGACCAGAGGAGGAGCAGT